AAACAACTAAGGTCAAACTCGACATTCAATCCATCGGGTTTTAATGACCCTACTTTAAAAATCCATTGTGTTTCTTTTTTGGCCAATTCTCTCCGCCAATTACTCCCCCTCCAGTGTCTGGCTATCCTCTCTATGCCCCAAAACTGTAACTTCCCAGGATCTTTATGGTGAACATAAAGAAAATGTTTAGAAGCCGAATACGAGCAACTGGCCCTCATTTCCCCTCTGGCAGTACCATAGGGGTCATGGGGGCCTTGTCACGTACCTGGTATGGTCTGAATGATGAGGGAGGCCCCTTTTGTAACTCTCGTCAGAGCACCCCTAGAGATGGCACAGGTAGCGCACGGAAATCACAGGATTCAGATACAGGAACACAGGTACAGGTACAGCTGAGATCTTCCAGCAACTATTAGTTGCTGCTTGGGGTTTAAATAGGCCGATTGGCGCCAATTCGTGCACTTGGCACACGCTGCACACGCCCATGCGCACACGCGCAGTTACTGCTCGTCTGTCACTATGCACGTTTCTGCGTGCCATAGTGTGTGTAGTAACTCGAGCACTCCTCATGCTATGGGCATTAGTTCTACGTTCCTGACAGGCCTATTGTGCAGACAGAGGACTTCAGTGTGGGATGTAAACAAACACATTGTTCCATAATATGGAGTAATGAAGCTAATTTATACCAGCCTGCCATCTTCCAGGCATAAAAAAAAGGCTTCTATTTATATTATAGACTTTCCTTACAGTGATGGAAGTTTTGAAATCTTTTCAATAGCTCTGAGTGGAATTCAAGCTTAATAAGTCTTTCTATCAATACCTTTTTTTCAAATTTCTTTGTGTGGCCCTGTCCCCATGACCATTGTTGCTTAGACAAGAATTCTGTATGTGCGTTATAATTAATCGATAAAATTTTTTTTTATTAATCGAACACGAAAATGTTAATCATTACCAGCCCTAATATATATATATATATATATATATATATATGCAGGGCTAAAGAAACATAACATTTATTTTTTTAAACATTTTTTTAAAGTCCCCGCCCCCGACATACACACGCATATATGCGTCAGGTGCGCCTACATGCCGCACATGTTGCATATTGCCGCAAACGTTGGAGTGAGAGCAATAATTTTAAAGCCATTAAGGCCGGGTTCACACCTGGGCGTTTTACAGCGCGCAGATCGACGCGCTGTAAAACGCCCAGCAAATGAAATCACATTATTTCCTATGGAGATGGTTCTCACCTGGGCGTATTTCAGCGTGTCGGAACGTGCTGAACAAACACCCTACACCCAAAGAAGTACAGGGGCTTCTTTGGGGCGTATTTCCGCGCGTATCCATTAGTATACAGCCGGATAGCCTTCGTAAACGCGTGTTTGACACGCGTTTTGAGGGCTGCAAATCACGGTTAAAACATGCCCCCCAAAACGCGTCATACACGCATATTTTGAACGCCTAGGTGGGAACCCAGCCAGGCAGGTGGGAGGAGTATAGAATAGTTCCAGAGGAGGGAGCTAGATTAACCACTTCCCTACCAGCCATTGTACATATACACCCATGAGGCGGAGTGGTTATTACAAATGGATGTTCCCCAGTAACTGTACATTCTTGTTGTTTACATGTTTGTTTGCACCACATGCACACCCAAAGACATTAAACAGTGCTGAGCACAAACCAAGGGCCCACAGCCAATTGGATCTGCTCTGTATATTGTGATGGCCAATCACAAGCTACTTACCATCTGAGATCCCTTCCCTTCCTGTCGCATCAGCAAAGGAGGAAGTGATAAATGAATGAGTCATTCATTCACCACAGGCCCGAACAGATGAGGTAATACTAAGATTTCAGGATTGGTTTTAACTAGGGAACACCGATACCGGTATTTTGGTACCGAGTACGAGTACCGATAATATTTTTCTGGTACTCGCCGATACCATTTACCGAGTACCGGAAGTCCCATTCAGGAAGCCGGGTGGCGTGTAATGACTCGCCACCTGGCTTCCTGATTAGCCGGGAAGCCGGGCAGCGTGTAAAGACTTGCCACACGGCTTCCCGATTAACAAGAAAGTCTGTCCCCTCTCACCTCAGCATGTCCAGCCTGTCACCCCCGGGGCCTCTCCAGCCAGGAGCGGCCTTCCTTCAGTACCCTGCCGGAGCCGTCTTGCTGGTCAATCATAGGAGCCAGGCGCCGTGTAATGACGCGGTACCCTGCTTTATGATTGGCCCGGGAGGCCGGCTCCATGCTCCCTCGTCATGAGATGAAGCCGGCTTCCCGGCTTATCAGAATGCCAGGCGTTGTGTCATTACACGGCGCCCGGCTTCCTAATTGGCCAGCTTCCCGACCAATCAGGAAGCCGGGCAGCGCGTCATTACATGCTGCCCGGCTTCCTGATTGGCCAGGAAGTCGGCTCCATGCTCTCTCATCACAAGTGACGAGAGAGCATGGAGCCGCTTCCCGGCCAATCAGGAAACCGTGCAGCTTGTAATGACGCACTGCCCGGCTTCCTGATACAGGAAGTATCGGGCTAGGCATCGGAGCATACTCGTACTTGCCCAAATACTCGGTATCTGCACCGATATCGATACTGGTATCGGTGCATCCCTAGTTTTAACCCTTTCACCACCATCCCTTCTTGTTTATATCATCTCCACCCTGCCAATGTATGTGACTTGTATAATAATCCCTTCACCTCCATTATCCTGCACATTAACCCCTCATCTTCATCCTGCCACTGTATGTGACTTGTAAATTACCCCCTTCACCTCCATCATCCTGCACATTACCCCTCATCTCCATACTGCCACTGTGTATGACCGGTATATTAACCCCTTCACCGCCATTATCCCTTCATCTTCATCCTGCCACTGTATGTGACTTGTATGTTAACCCCTTCACCTCCATTATCCTGCACATTAACCCCTCATCTTCATCCTGTATGTGACTTGAAAAATGACCCCCTTCACATCCATCTGCCTGCACATTAACCTCTAATCTCCATAATGTCACTGTATCCGAGCGGTATATTAACCCCTTCACCTCCTATAATGTTCATATTAACCCCCTCATCTCCACCCTGCCACTGTGTGTGGCCTGTATAATACCCCCTTCACCTCCATTATCCTGCACATTAACCCCTCAACTCCATCCTGCTGTATGTGATTCCTGTACAGGCCAGGAGCCCCAGTTGTCCGAGTATATGTCTGGGCAAGAAACAAGAAGAATAAGTGCACTTTGTAAGTACCATTGATAGGGGAGGGGGAGCCAGGCCGGGTTTCAGCCAGTGTAAAGGTAATCATGGATGATTATGTTGTGCAATGTAAGTGATATAAAGTAGGTGATAGTGTAAATCCACTTTAATTGTGAAGCACCCCCCGATGCCTGCCCTCTGGGAGCCGTACAATGCCGAGATCAGGTGGAGTGTGCCCGGCTTGATGTCGCACAGTGCCCATGTGGGCAGTGATGGGAGTTGCCTGTGAAACGCATGCGCCTCCCCGTCCAAACAAACCAGCCTCGCTGCAGCGCTGCACACAGGACCGGAGCTGCGCCCTCCAGCTCCTCCTCTACACACCAGAACCCCGGATCCGGGACGCGGCTCCACACACCGCCGGCCGAGCCGAAGGTAAGTGAGGGACAGGGAGGCTTGTCTGATCGGAGGGGATACGGGCTGCTGTATTCTCCCGCCTGGTCTGTATCACACAGGAGGGAGGGGGGATCGGCATTCCCATCCTCTGTATCCTTCCTCCCTTGGCTGGCTGCAGCCATGTGTGATGGGAGCCAGCAGAACACACATGGCATCTGCCGGGCTGGGGGCGGTGGTCACCCAGGGGGGAGGGGTATTGCAGCAGCCATGGGGGCGGTCATTTCATCATTACATCGGAGGAAAGAAGAACTGTGGTAATCAACTGCATAGAGGAAGTTACATTGTACGAACAAGCTGAGTGCTCCGTGGGTTATCATAGAGTCTGAGGAGCAATCATCATGCTATTTGGGGCAGATAGGGGCAATCATCATCATCATAAAGGGGGCAGATAGGGGCAATTATCATCATATAGGGGGCAATCATCACCATTATCATCATATAGGAGGAAGATAGGGGCAATCGTCATCATGCAAGGGGCAGATAGGAGCAGCCATCATCATCATACACGGGGCAGACAGGAGCAATTATGATATATGGGGCAGACAGGAGCATGAATCATTATAATGTATGGGGAAGGTAGGAGCAGTCATCATGTATGGGGAAGGTAGGAGCAGTCATCATGTATGGGGAAGGTAGGAGCAGTCAGCATTATCGTCATATATGGGACAGATAGGAGCAGTCACCATCCTCATCGCTGTGTATGGGGCATAGAGGAGCAATCGTGGTATATGGGGCAGACAGGAGCACTAATCATTATAATGTATGGGGCAGTTAGGAGCAATCATCATCGTGTATGGGGCAGATATGAGCAGTCATTATGCTAATGTAAGGGGCAGATAGGAGCAGTCTACATCATCATCTTGTATGGAGCAGAAACCATCATTATAATGTATGGGGCAGATAAGAGCAGTCATCATCAGTTTTGGTGACAGCATGTAAAAGCATCAGTGCCACAATCTGCTGGGGATTGCTTGCACAGTGACTCATGCTGTATAATTGAGATCATCACATCCCAAGGTCACCCGGAGATGGCACTTGTGCTTATTGGTGATGTCAGCTGCACACGATCGATAGCCAACTCCACAACTAATAGCATGCTAGTAATATGAGTCATGTGAAGTAATATGGCATCCTCCTAGATGCATGCTCATGTGAGAGAGGTAGAGCAAGGGGGCAGCTCACACACACTGCTTTTACTTGTCCCTTCATGGAAATGAGAGAGGCGTCCTTTCCCGCCTCTTCTCCTCCTCCCATGTCCTCTCACAATAGTTACATTCATCTTTCCTCAGCCCTGAAGAGGTGGTCTAGGAGGACGGGGTGTGTGCACGCTCGTCCATAGGTGTATTCTATGTTCTAGGGAGGAGGAACATCTGTGACAAAACACAGCAGCATCTGCTGCACTGTTAGCTATTTGAGAATGAGAGGAGTTGAAGTTTAGGGGTTTTGTTTTCAAAGTCTAGATGTGTTCACTTCGATATTTTACACTTGTTCAATTTACTTCCACAGTTGTTACATTGGTACCACAGACCTCTTCGTAGTCACGGAGCAGCAGATAAGCAGCAGCACATGGAGAAGAAGACGAGTATAGCCTCGGCACAAGCTGAGCAAGGAAAATCTTCCACCTCGCCTCCTCGCTCTCAAATCCTGCGCTCCTCTCCCCCGCCACCTTCTGTTAAGGATGGAGATGAACTACAAATTGATGACGGACAAGGAAGACCCCTGGGTCCCACTCCAAGCCAAAGTCGCTTTCAGGTAGACCCGGTGTCTGAAACTTCCCGAGATTCGTCTTCTTGGGACCAAGAAGGAATAGCACCCGTTGCTGATGGCCTCACTCATAGGGGTCGAGGAAGCTCTGGTGGAGAGGAGGCTAAAGGACGGTTTAGAGTAAATTTTGTGGACCCGGCAGATCCTGAGGGGAGCTCTCCTGAGATGCCAAGTGGGGAAGGAGGTGGCGGGGTAAGCTTTCAGAATGGAGATACAGTACTTAGCGAAGGTAGTGGAACTGGTCATCACTATCACTATGATACTCATACTAATACTTATTACCTGCGGACTTTCGGGCACAACACGATCGATGCTGTGCCAAGGATTGATCACTACCGACACACAGCTGCAGACCTTGGGGAGAAGCTGCTGAGACCCAGCTTGGCAGAGCTGCATGATGAAATTGACAAGGTTAGACAAATCGCTTTACGTTTACTGCATTGGTCCACTGCTGGTAGTATTTGTGGCTTACATTTTGACCAAAACAGTAATGTTTTGGTAACTTGATAATGGCTTGGACCATATGGTGCCAAACTACAATGTATTCCTTTAGACCTTTTTTTTAACAAGCATAAATAAGATATAAATGGTTATTGGTGCAAAATGAGCTGGCAAGAGCAACTACACCAGTAGGATTGGAAATGTATGTCTATTCTACTCTCTGAACTGTATGTTGCTCTCCCCTCTGAAACCTATTTGATGTAGGACTCATTCATGCCAGCGGCCGCGCTTAATGCTCCGATATAACATGCACCCTTTGGTAGAGACAGTGTGATGCATTGGCACGGCACAAGTATGGGTTGGACAGGACACTTAGGGAACAATTGTTTTCTATGGGCTCTGTGTTGATCAATGTCACTCAACACTCCTGGTGTAAACGATCCTTTAATTGCAGTATGCATAATCACACCCCAGTGAAACTTCAATCTTCAGCAAGTCCCTCTTGTTTGCTGGCTCTAGTTCTTTATAAAGGTGTGAAAATAGGAGCCATGGCTACTGGCCTCCTGAGATTTACCTTTTGCTGAACTGTTAATGAATTCCCACTAGCCCTTGCTGTTCTTAGGAAAAAGCATGATTATCCTTCTCTTTGGTGATTTAATTTAAAACTATTTTTAGTATCCACTGCATGTTATTAAAGTGACACTAAACTCAGGAGTTAAATCTTAAAATTGCTGTCAAGTACCTGAACTATTAACAAAAATGTATCTTATTTGTGTATCACTGGGCTGTAGATCCTCAAATCATCTCTGAATTGGTGCTGACACTGTCCTTCCTTCTGGAGGGTGCCTACTTTTGTTCCATGTGGTCCCTGTGTGTGTTGTAAAGTAGCCACCGCTCCAAGCTCACTTCTGTGATGGACTACAATCTCATGTTCAGTTTACTAATTTGTATTGAGATTGTAGTCCATCACGGGAGTGAGCTTGGAGAGGTGGCTACTTTTACAACACAGACAGGGACAAGGGGAAGAAAAGTAGTCACCCTCCAGAAGGAAGGACAGTGTCAGTACCAATTCAGAGATGATTGATACACAAATAAGTGATACTCAAATTATTTGAGTGATACACTAATAAGCTACATTTTTGTCAATAGTTAGGGTACTTGAATTCATTTTTAAGATTTAACTCCTGCATTCAGTGTCACTTTAAACTTTTGTTCACCGTTTGCAGCTCTTACTTATACCCATAAGATTGTTGTTGCAGCTGTATTTGCCTTTAAGTTCTTTACGGACCTTTGGTTAAAATGGATTGCTTTTGTATGTTGTCCACTAGTAAATGCTTACATCTGTGTCTGGTGCTGCTCTATATTGCAGATTTATTGTACACATAGGTGGCATTCTATAGCCATCTCCAAATCAGTACAACCATCAACCTCTACACAAGGAAGTCTGCAATCTGGAGTGTTAGGCTTATTACTACTACAGACAATATAACGATGGTCAAAGGTGGAAAAAAAGTGCAAAAGTAACATTGCTGGGAAAATGCTGGAACCTTTTGATTATGGCTTACATGTACAATCACACGTGTATGACATTCAATTCTTAGATTGCATTTATATAATGCTATACTATACATGAGCACATTTTGACAACACAGTACATATCCAGTCAAAACATGCTCAGGGTAAACCTTCATGTGAAAGGAATGGTCTTCACATTATTGAATATAATGAGAGGAATTCATCAAAACTGGAGCAAGCAGAATCTGGAGCAGTTGCCCATTGCAACCAATCAGTTTCTACTTGGGATGCACCGAAATTTCGTCCGCCGAAAACATATTAGCTGAAAAGGGCACTTTTGGCAAAATAAGTAAGTGCCATTTTTCTCCCCCCTGCTTTCTCTCCTCCCTGCTGGGCTCTGCTCTGTGTCCCAGCGGGGAGGAGAGAAAGTGTCACAGGAGGCCGAGCAGTGCGGGAGGAGAGCGCTGTGAGCGGCTGACGTCTCTCCTCCCCGCACCACTCAGCCTTCTCTCACAGATCAGGAGAGCGGCAGTGTGGGGCTGGAGGCAGCTGTCATTGCTGTCACAGGAACCTGAGCTCTCCTCCCTCACCGCCCAGCCTACTGTGACAGCCAATCCAGGATGTAGATCAGCGGAGTGGGCGGAGACAACTGTCATTACTGTCACAGGAGGCTGAGCTCTCCTCCCGCGACGCCCCATCCAGCCGCCTGTAACAGCGTGTTAGGATGGGGAGCGGGCACAAAGACTCGGCCATCAGTAATCGCTGAGTGTTTGTACATAATTGAGGACAGACTGTTTACTGTGTCCCCAATTATGAATGAATGGGACGTCCTGTTCATCCTGTTCATTCATGATTGTGGTTATAGTAAACACATTTATGTTCTCAAGTTATGAATGAACAGGAACACTCAGCATAGAGGATTCCTGTTCATTGATAACATGGGCGGCAGAAAAAGAGATTGAGGACACAGAGCCCTCAATCTCTTTTTCTACTTTAAAAGATAAATATCAGGGGTACGTTTAGACCCCCAATATTTCCCCAAAGCACTCAACAATAAAGTAAAAAAATATTTAAAGTTTATAAATAAAATATTTGAAAACTTTTTGAAAAAGTTAGAAAACAGACTGAAGAGAGAAGCTTATTGGTGGCTATGGGCAACTCCTCCAGATTCTGTATGCTCTAGTTTTGATAAATTCCCCCTAGTATATATTAATGTTGCCCACATGGATGTGAACCTATGGCCATACTAAACATATGCAGCTGACACTTATTTTAGTTCTCTCCAGGTATGGCATATATGCATTATGATTTTTGTCCAGGACCCCAGAAAACCTGGGGCCCTCCAACTTGGAACTAGTGACCACTGGCCTACTCTGGTCTGGACCTTACAACTCATGCCACTTTATTAACCTGTCAGTGTTCTGGGCGGCCATCACTCTGAGACAGAGGAGGTGATAAGAGGCAGGCCAGAGCCAGCAAGCATCGTGAGCTGGGCGTATACTGATAGTTTTCATGCGGACATTCATGCAAAAAAAATCTCCTCGGAACATTTGATACTGTCATCGGGGACTTGATGAATGTCGTTTTGAAATGTTGTTCAATTTTGGAATGAATGCCCCGCCCCCACTGTTAGTGAATTAATTTTGTTTTGGAAAAATTTTTCCATCCTGCTTCTTCGATTTTCTTTCATCATGATGAACACGATCATTAATGTCACCCCCAATTAGAAAATCGAATGAAAACAAATTTTGTCTAATTAAATTTTACTAGTGTGTAGCCAGCTTTAGAGAGGCCCCATTTTCCTGAGATCCTGGGTCACTCTGAAAGAAAACGAAAAAGTAATTGGAGGCACCTAGAGCGATCTCAACTACTGATGATTGGAATGGCCACAGGCTAAAGATACGTGATCTAGATGTGTCCGTGTGCATTGGCATTTTCCACTTGACCTCATGAACTAGATAGTTCTGTAGAAACAAAAGAGTGAGTCAACTTAACCAGTGCAACTGTAAGCAAAACAAGGAGTCATACATATTTAAGGAATAGGTCTGTGTTCAGACAAACTGCTAATTCTTTGTGGCCCCCTCTTCTGACCTAACAGGTTCCACCTTTCCCCTCCACAGATGCATACTTGCTGACATCCAGTGTCCCTGCCCTGGCCTCCAGTTTGTTTACATTCCACACCAAAGTTCTCTCTTCTTCCTGGCATGGAGACCAGTCCTATAGAGTTCTATGGTGCTCCACCATGCAGGCATGGCTAGGGAAGAGAGGAGTTTGGCGCTGGATGTAAACAAATGTAGGAGGCTCCAGGCGCCACATGTCAGTAAATATGCATCGGTGGAGGGGGAGGATTTGTTAGGCCAGGGAAGGGGGCAAAAAGGATAAGTGCACTGTGTCTAAACGTGTACTAATTAATTTTAATAACGTATCTAAGCCTGTTTTCATATACACTAAAGCAGGGGTGCCCATGAGGTAGATCGTGATCTACCAGTAGCTCTCAAAGCTGATGCTGGTAGATCATGAAGGGTGTGAATGGCGGCCCCTTTATTCAATATATATATATATTTATTTAGCTGTGCACACATGATTACCTATTAGCCTGAGTCTGCTGAGCCAAGCTCCCTGACACCTTTCTGGTGGATACTGGTGGTTGAAGTGCTATGTATTACATCAAAGAATATTAGTTTACACAGCCTGTTGCACTACACTGTTTGCAAAATACAGCAAGGTGAGCCAGATGAGAGAGCAAGGAGAGACAGCCAAGAGACAGCCAGGTGAGAGAGGAGAGACAGCCAGGAGAGAGAGACATCTAGGGGAGAGAGAGCGAGGGACGTTTTTTTTTTTCCGTTGGTAGATCTCATGTAGCTCGTCATTCAAAAAGTAGATCTTAACACAAAAATTGTGGGCACCCCTGCACTAAAGTGTTGTTGGTGTTAAAGTGTATCTACACCAAAAAACAAAAACTGAATATATTGCAGCTTGCCACAGGGGTGGACTAATTGATATAGAATTCACGAGCCAGGCTGTAGATCCTCAAATAATCTCTGAATAGGTGCTGACACTGTCCTTCCTTCTGGAGGGTGGCTATTTTTGTTTCCCATGGTCCCTGTGTGTGTTGTAAAGCAGCCACTGCTCCAAGCTCACTCCTGTGACAGACTTACAATCTCAATAAATATTAGTAAACTAAACATGAGATTTTACTCCTTCACAGGAGTGAACTTGGTATTTTCTGCCCTTGCTGAAAATGTTAGCCTGAGATAAAGAAAACAAATGCAGCCACCACATCACACCCATCATTAGATGTAGTTAAGTTTTACATGGCAGATGTAAAAAAACAAAATTGTTCCAGGACAATTCTGAACTTGATGAATTTCCGGTTCTGAAACTGACTGTCCTGGAATAAGACAGTGGGTTGCCCGCTGTCGACCTTGTCACAAAACTTCTCATATTCTTCTCAA